AGCCAACTGCATTTATCTCATCAGTTGCAAAGTTTGCTCCAAACAGTATGTTGGTGAAACAGGAGATCTCCACAGGAGAGTCAATAATCACCGTTCTACCATTAGGACCAAAAAAAAAAACTCAATGAACCCGTTGGGGAACATTTCAACCTTGAAGTCACAAATGGGAGGACATGACAGTAGTGGTTATTGACCATAATCCAAGATGGACAGACGCTCAGAGAAAAGGCAAGGAAAAGTTCTTGATGCACAGGCTGAAGTCATTCCGCCCTAATGGTATTAACAAACTTAATGACTTCACCAGGATGAACATGAACTAGACCCAATCCCGGATTGTAACAAACAAGTTCATTCTCTCTATATAGTGTAAACTTTACCGTTAATTCGCATTAGCAATTCTGGAACAACCTACCCAAATATTTACACCTTACATTTTTGTTTATTTCTTTTATCCGATTTACAAATTTATAATATATCCAAATTCATATTTAAAATTGCCCTTCCATATTATCTTCCTTTAATTTCTTTTTATTATGTATAGTTACGCTATTTTGAGAGAATAAGACAATGTACGATTTACTGCTTGGTCGTAATTAATTAGCGATAATTAATTCGTTCAATTATGTAAATCGCACTTCACCAGAGTACACCCGATAAACCGGACGCAATTCATAGCGCTCCGGATTTCTTTGTTCACAACTGCTTATAAACTTCAAATAAACATGTATAACACTGTAAATATTTAGTGTTTGGTAGTTTAACAGTAGTGCTAGTTGTTTTTGTTCCTCTATTACCTTGTTTTTATGACTTCTTAACTTTTTTCTTTGTCCTGAGGAAGGGACAGGTCGTCCTGAAAATTTGACAATTATTATTGTTCGTGTCGTTGGTCATCTTTAGTGCTTTATATATATATATATATATATATATATATATATATATATATATATATATATATATATATATATATATATATATATATAAATTCTGGTTGTAACGCTGAACAAGCCGATTGGTTGAAAAATTATACTTGGAAGTTATTTGAGAAAAAAATCTGAAAAAAGTGAACCCATGTTAGTCTTCCATCGCCAGTTCTTTACTTATTGCTTAATATGCACCATATCCTTACCAAGGTCTTTCCCATGTTCTTCTGTGTTCAAATGGTACATAGCTGCTATCATTAGAAAACGGAAAGGTAGTATGTAATTGCCCTTTTACATTGTTAAATTGTAAACAAGAAATTTGGAGGGAAATATTAATGAGCTACATATCTGACAAATCATACAGTGTAAATGAAACACTGGAGTCAGATGTAAAATCACATCTGAAATTAAATCTTACAAGTCAGACCGTGTAAATAGGCGAAGAATGTGTTGCGCCTATCGATTAATTAACACGTCGTTGGTAATTTAGACGGAATTAATAGCGTGTACTATATAATTATATAGTTGGTGTGAAAATAAAATGAATATGTAGACTTTTCCGGTGCTGACGCCAGTTTCCAGCTGGGGAGCATTAAAACCACCTTAAGTTAATAAGAATAATTTCTATGAGACCATATCCTATCGCTCTCATTAGGTCTTTTTCTCCAACAGGAGAGTTCACTGGTTGCCGATGTGCGGACAAATTAGAACCAAATGCGTGTTACCTAACTCAAAGAAATTTCTTTACACACTCCAAAGTATCTGTACATTATTGTGTATTCACTAATAATATAATTTTTTGGTGTTTTTATGTTATATTTTACTTTTTATAAAGTTATTATGTTACATTTTAAAACCATTTAAAACCAACATTTCAGAATGAGAAACACAAAAGCATGTATCCTCTTCGTATTCAAGATAAGTCAATCTCTGATGCATGTACTTAAGCTTTGGCGGATTCTATAAGTATACTTTATTTTGCTTGATGAATGGAGATTTATCACAAAAGGTGTTTTTTCTTTTGCTGCACGATTATAAAAACATATACTAGTTAGATCACCAATACGACAAATAAAATGATTTTTTGTAAGTCATTCCCAAACATCCTAAATGTAATCATCATTAGCTCTTCAAATGCGAAGACTCAAGGAGTTAATGCAATGACCTGGCGTGCCTGCGTAAGCCCCCTGTTTTGTAATAATCATCATAAAGCTTATGTTAACAAATCTTGACCAATAAAACTAGGGATTGTGTGTTTATGATATCATTAGCCTTAGAATTGAGTTCTCATTTCAAACCATTTGAGATGTGATTTAAAAGACGTTAGAAATACATTTCATTTGAATTATTCTTACAGGCAGCCTAGCTTAATTATCTATTTATCCAAGTCAACCCAGTTTTCTTTACATTAACGAGAATAAGGAAATACAAGATCCACATCAGTTTATAATAGTTCCAACTTCTTGCTCCTCGCAATACATATGATTCATTTTTGTGATAATGAATACTTGAAACTTAAGGTACAAGTTCATTTACTACACTCACACCAAAAATCTGTGCATGGAACATGAGGTATCGTATTCTAGAAAAGAAATGCTCATGATATTACCTCTTAAAATACTTTTAAAATAAATTCTGTTACCTGTTTTCTCATTGTTCAGAAAATAGACTGATTTTGTTTAGGGGTCAGTTAATATAACGTTAGGGGTGTAGAAGCAGGGAATATCTTTTTGAATGGTCGCCCGCGTGGCGCAGTGGTTAGTACGTCTGCTCTAGAGTCGCGAAGTAAGGAGTTGATCCTTACGTCGCGGATTCGAATCCCACTGTGGGACGTGGAGACCGGTCCTTCGGACGAGACTGTATAAACCGAGGTCTCATGTCGCAGTAGGTGTTGGCACGGAAAAGATCCCTCACTGCTCAATGGCCGTAAATGCCGAGTATAGGACAAAATTTGCAGCTCTCCACCGGCAAGTGGTGAGTGAAAAATTCTCGAGAGGGACGTTAAACAACACAAATCAATCAATCTTTTTGAATGCGAAAGCATATTATATATTTTTGAAGATGGATTGGAAGAAAGTCAAAATTCAATATTCAAATACCACACTTAACGCAATATATGATGTAGTAAGGTGGATAAGTTTTTATTCCCTTAAATCGGAGGGAGAGGGGAATCAAGAGGTCCTGAATTTATCCATACGACATCAATGACTTATGTTTTTTGATTTTTTTCTTTGTGCGTCTTTTCTATGCTTTTCTTTGCAATGTTTTATAATATATATATAGAAATTATGATGATATATCTTTGCTACGTCAAGAAAACGCTCAACTGCGGAGAGAGCTGGAATTATTAGGGTCAGTTGTAATATATTCGAATGGACAGAAAAATGTCTCTTATGGAAAACGATGTTACGGGTTTTTTAAGGGTCCTGTTCTGCGGATGCCATGAGATGATCTGTCTGTCCATCTGATATCACTTGTCCTGAGTATATTTTCTCTCCTCTTAGCCCAATCTCACTTAAACTTAACCCATAGAGTGCCTGTGGATAGAGGGTAAAAAGTGACCTTGGACCAATTATCCAAGTCAAAGGTCAGTATCAGAATACACTATATATCTTTATTTAAAGTCTTTGTCCAGAACATAACTTTCTCCCTTTGTATGATCTGGCTTGTGTGCCATGTGACGAAGGGTGTGTAGTGATCTTTAACCAATTTTCTAGGTCAAATGTCAATTAAAAAAAAAAAAAACAACTCCTTGTAATATCCTTGTCCGGAGCACATTTCTCTCCAATTGACTCAGCTAAAAGCAGTGTTCTATGAGATGGTTATATTCTCAATCATACCTGCTTTGATATTAATCTGGCTTAAAACAGTATTGTGTAATGGTCATTATTCTGATTTCATGGTCATTAAATTTAAAGACTGAAACTAATCACTGATATTGGTACATTAAAGGACACTGAGGTGATCTTGTCAGATTTCTAAATACATGTAATATTCAAGTATACAATTCTTACATCAAATAATAATTTTGTACGAAAATATATTGCAAATCGCAGATGATGTGAAGAAAATGCGTGGGAAGCTGATGTTGAAAGAAGTACTGAGCATTTAATGAAGTTTATGAATGGACTTAGATGTGAAAGACTACAACATTAAGACATATGATTTCATTTATTTTGATATCATTTTTAAATAATGTTTTTGTACATTAAAATGAATTATTAAACATATGATTTGATAATGCTATTTCTTTTTTATACATTTTTTAATAGATTTTGAAAAGAAACCACAGTTTACCAAGGAAATTAATAATATATATTTTAATTTAAAACTGCTGTTCTCTTTTCACATTCTAGAAAAGAAAGATTTACCATGGAAAATACAGGGATCCTTTAGCTTCCAGTAGCTTGTCAATCATCTCCCAAAATTGAAATGCTCAACCTACCCTGTAGTTTCCATGGTATGGAAACTATTACACCACAATCCCACATTGCTTCCCATCTCAGAAAAATAAGGGAATCTTCAAGTTTCCCTGTAATTTCCTTTTATGGGACACCAGATAAATCCGCCAAGTTTCCATCACACGGAAACCGCTACGCTCCAATTCCATGTAATTTCCTGAGTCATGGAAACTTGAGGAATCATGAGGTTTCCTCTAGTTTCCGTTCATGGGAAACCTGAGGATTCCATCCAGTTTCCCCATTCCATGGAAACCACTACGCTCCGATTCCATGTAGTTCCCTAATTATGGAAACCAGTGGAATCTTTAGGTTTCCCATTACAGGAAACTACATGGAGGCTTGGGAAACTTCAGGTTTCCCGAGGTTTCCTTGGTTTGGGATACCTAATGGAATCGGAGCGTAGTAGTTTCCGTGCCACGGAAACTTGACGGAATAACCTGGCATCCCCTGCGGAAACCACTGGGAAACATTATGTAAACTTGAGGTTTCCATGTGCTTTCCATATAGTATCCCATGACGGGAAACTGCTTATTTCACCCAGTGTTGGTCAAGGTCTATGTGAGACAATATCCTTATTCACAATTATCTTTACGAACCCAATGAGGACCTACCCACATCAATGCCAGTAACTTTTAAAGAACTTCTAGGGGTGGATGCCAGTTTTGTCAGGATTCATAGGAATGGGGCACGCCCACAATACAATTCTGACCGACCTGTATCCATTACTGCAAAGCTGACCGACCGTAGTAAAATCAACACAATTCTTAATGCCCAAAAGCTAAAGAAAATTGCCAAACAACCATTACCCTTCTTTATTACCACACAACAACCTGCATCCATTGTATCCGCTCGAAACAGGGTGTATGATACAGCAGAGTCTTTGCGCAGCCAAAACATCACTGTTAAGATTCAAAAGAATCAGATCATTTTGCCCAATGGCTCCAGTTATAAAGATGACGTACCATTTCTATCAAATGCGGACGCCTTATTGGTAACGCCTGAAGAGACGGAACATCCAGACTCAGTTGAAACAAAACAAATCGGGCCCAATCAAAAAGGACGGCTCGGAATTTATGGCTTTCGGTGCTCGAGATAAGGCTGTGGAGGATGTCAAGAATATGTACAGCAAAGTTTTAATAGATCCCTATGCAGCAAGTGCAGATAATCGTGTCTTAGTTTACAGATTTTCCACAGAAGATGGTACCGTGCACGAAAATTATCATGATGATTGTGAACATTGGGCTTGGCGCAGACTTTTGCGATACATGAGAGAAAATCAAATTTACAACGCAGCTTTCGTCATTACAAAATGGATGGGCGAAGCCCATTTTGGACCTCAAAGATTCGCAATCATGGAACAACTAATAAACAGAGTCACTAATTCCATGGAAATTTGACTTTTGAAGCCATATGCACGGTAATCTGACAATGCATAACTTTAACAGTAATAAAACTGAGTAAAGAACAATTATAACTGACATAATAGGCGTCTTATGAAATTAGGCCTTTATGATTTTGTAAATATGTTCTTCTTTTCATAAGGGAATACGAATATTAATGCAGTCTTCACTTCAAATTTTTAAATATTGGATAATTGTGATTAAAAAATCTTTATTTTTGTCAATATAAATGCAAAAATCCGGATTTAAAAATAATTTCCGACTTGGAAAATATATTTTAAGTTTTCCGGAATTTAAATGTCCACTCTTTTTGGTTTATTATTCTATTTTCATGGCGGCATATCCGATATGATTTATTTTTGTAACTTGTTTCTGACCTTCTGACCAAATCTCTAACAAGTCCATATCTACCACTCTATGATGTATGTGTCTTTATTACTAAACCCTTCTCCAATCTTCTCTTCTGTCTTAAGAGCAACCTCTTTTCTGTTTCTCATTTTGCATGTTTATGAGTTAATGATGGTAAGTGAATGTTTGTGCAAGTGTTTTGCACCAGTTCAATTTCATATTTTATGTCTGGTTTTACAGTAGTTTCAGCAAACTGTCAAGGTCTGCATGATTATTAAAAAAAGAAAGGATGTACTCAAATATTATAAGCAATTTCAATGCAATATTCTGTGTCTACAAGATACTCATTTACAAGTGATATGGAGAATGACATAAGAAAAGAATGGGGATATGAGGCATATTTTAATTCATTTTCATCAAAGTCAAGAGATGTAGCTATTTTTTTTAATAATAATTTTGAGCACAAGGTTCACAATAGAATATTTGATGAAGCAGGGAATCTATTGGCTCTAGATTTGACAATTGAAAACAAGCGTCTGAGTTTAATTACAATATATGGACCAAATGAGTGTAACAGGATGATAGTTACTTTTCAGTCCCGAATATAACGAGATATTCCGAATCATGATATAAATGAATACAAAAATCTTTATTAAATTTAAATATAAATTATTGATAATAAGAATCAACAGAAACAAAAAAAATAGAAAGGGAAGTGCAGTCGAAATTACCTGTAGACTTTGTAGATTATTGGAATTAATTTCAGGAATCAAATTTGGATGCCAAAATAGGTGAAATATACGCTATAAATAAGTTTTCAAAGAAATTGTATGGAGTCAAGCTCCCGTAAAAATAATTACGACTATATTCAACTGCAAACAAAACCAGATTGCCGCAGACAGCGTCGGGAACGCCCGGATATATGTCAAGGACAACCACACTTCGCCCCCAGGAGCCAAGAACGATAACTCGCGTAAACACTAGGTGTCTCCACTACATGAGGATACACCCTCATTTTATGAAAAATTATCCGAAATTATAAAGGATTTATCAAATCAAGATGTTATTTTGGTAGGAGAGTTTAATTTAGTTTTGGACCCAGAAAAAGATTACTTCAATTATCTTCATATTAACAATCCAAAGACAAGAAGTAAAGTTCTAGAAATTATTTCTGATTACAATTTCAGTGATATTTATAGAGAAATGAATCCTGACGAAACAAGATATAATTGGCGTAAACCTTCCCCATGTAAACAAGCAAGATTAGACTTTTTTCTTATATCAAGTTCTTATTTAAATAGTGTAGAAGAAAGTAAAATTTTGAATAGTTATAAATCTGACCACTCACCTATATATCTAAAGATTAAATTAAATGAACTGACACATGGAAAAGGTTTGTGGAAATTTAATAACTCACTTCTTCAAGTATATTGAAACAGTCAACAAAGTTATTCAGGAAACAAAAGAAAATTATGCATTACCTATATATTCTAAAGAATATATCAAAGAGATATCACCTGCAGAAATTCAGTTTAATATAGATGATAAGCTTTTTCTTGAAACACTCTTAATGAAAATTAGAGGCAAAACCATTTCTTTTTCTAGTTATATAAAGAAAAAAAAACAATGAGAAAGAAAAACAGTTAATTTCTGAAATTGTTTTTTTTCTTACCGATTTTGTGCACGCGAGTTCTCGGAAACGGCTCTCTCGATTTTCATGTAACTTACAGGTCTGATAGAACATTAAAAAATCTAGATGTGTGGTTTTTGTTTGTTTTGATGACGTCACTTCCGGTTCCGAGCTTTCCGCGATTTAGTGATTTTCAGAGGGTCACTTTGTCCAACAGTTTTCTCAAAAGCGCTTCTAGACAGAAACGTGACATTTTTCGGCGATGATAGAGCAACATGTGTAGATGTGACAGACGCATTTCTCTTTCCCCGGAAGTGCCTCACTTCGTCGCTCGTTATGGCCCGAAAAAAGTCCTATCGGGATTTTTAAAATTTCTAACACCTTTTCTACAATATCTTTTCACCTGTAAATATTTTGTTAAAACATATAGAACAAAAGTTGTGTAGAATGTCACAATCTTCCAAAGGATGTCAACAATAAGGGGCTGACCCCTAAAATTAGGGAGCTAGAGGGGCCAAAAGTGTTTTCCTGATATCTCAAAAAGTATTGAGAATTTTTATAGCTTCATAGAAGTAAAGTTGTTCAAAATTATAAGTAGCAGCTAAGGAGACCATTAAATGTCGTCAAAATGACGTCACTTCCAGTCACACCGAGAGTAATGGTAAATGGCTCATTTTTGCACATATGACCGTAGAAGTCTCTCGATCTCAATCTCATCTCCTTCAAATTTAGACGGAAGACTTATTTGTTGCTTTGCAACAAGCTCGTCTAGTTATTTAAAATTATTCTGTTTATCTAAAAAGGAACAAAACCTATGTATAATATTTTGAACACAGTACCTTTCTCAAAAGTGAAATGGAGTAAACATTTTGAAATTCAAGATTTCCTATGGGAAATGCTATATAAAATTCCTTTTCAATGTACAAAAACTTCTAAATAACATTGGTTACAATTCAGAATAAATCAACATATCTTAGTTACAAATAAAATGACTGCCATCATGAGAAAAGGGCCCTTATTTTTTGACGTCACAATGCTCAGAAAACGATGTCAAAGTCGCGTTATTGTAAACACGGAAGTAAATTTTGTTGACTGCGTTTTTGTAGAAATACATGTGTAGATAGAATGAAATAAAACTGGATTTCCTGGCTTGAAGAAAAAAATAAAATCATACGAATTTCGAAGCGGAAAATTTTAATAAATAACATTTTTACCATTTAGTACATGTATTTATTCAGGTCTCTATGTAAATATTCTGTATAACATAATTCAAACGTTATGTTGAACGCATTATCAGATAGAGCGATTAAAAGCGACGTCTATATATGATGCAAGGCTACAGATACATGTACATAGTAGTATATATATATATATATATATATATATATATATATATATATATATATATATATATATATATATATATATATATATATATATATATATATATATATATATATATATATATATATATATTTTGACTGAGCTATTTGAAAGTGCTTATATTCGACTTATACATTGATGTATTAATTAGTCTTAGTACTGATAGGTAATTTGTACATACATTTATATTTTTTCAGGGCGAGAGAGAGAGGGGGCACTCAATGCACATACATATGTACGCGTTGTTTAAAAGTAAAAATGCTTCTTTCATTTGGAAAAAAATATATTGTAATAATGTTATGACATATTTTATTTTTATTCCATTGCTCATCATATCAATAAGTACAGTTAGACTAGTTCACGTGTGTGGCGTCGTTTTCCAAGTGGAGATGGGGTTGGGGGGGGGGGTATAATTAACAAACTTAAAAAGTCTCCAAAGGTATAGATACTGTAATATGGGAAATCTGATGTTCCTATCACAACAATGGAAGGGGTGTGTATGCTGCAAAAGGCCTTTTCATAAATAATTAACACCATGAGAATATTCTCCGGGAAAAATTTTGGGGGGTGGGGTGGGGTGGGGTCCCTCTCCCCTTTGATTATACTGCCTAAGGATCAAAGAAAAGTGATGTGCGTATGTCTCTGGTAAATATGTAAATTTTGAAATCGGGCACAATAAACATATGTACATAGCATAAAAAATTGCACTATCGAATGTTTTCAAAGTTTTTTGTGTCTTTTCAACAGTATTTTCGTATCCATTGTTTACTTGCACATGTAAGAAAGCTCAAATCGAGAAGTAATAAACGGTGAAATTACACGATCCCGGAAAACAATAAAGCATGCACAAAATTGCTGATGAATTTCATAATACGAAGTATTTGCTTTAACAAAAGTTGAAGTACATTGTTATCATAAATATCGAAAAAAGTATTATTGTTTGATAACAATTATTTTTTTCTATTTTGTTTAATTTGTTCTGATTTTGTTTAGGAATTAAGTACAGTTAAGGTGGAACCCCTCCCCCCCCCCCCCAAGTAAGTAAACAACAGTCACTTCGATAGTAGTTTTATTCTTGAAAAATTGTATGAAACAGAAGAAACAATAGATTAGGTTTTCAAGAAAGAAACTGGGGGATAAGCCGAGTCATATGCCTACATAACGATCGATAAAAAATCAATAAATTTATTTTACAAAAATTTCACTTTTTGTTGAATTAATGTAATGCTTATTACCATTTGCATATAAATTTGACAAAACCTGAATACTGTAACAGCGAAAATGATTCTGATTAACACAACAAAATGGCATCACGCTCAATTTTCACAGAAACTG